ATAAAACACACATGTGTCTTCAAGATTTCTGTAGGGTAGGTCTCTCGGTGAAAGGTCACACTGCACATGGCAGCCAGTGTGGAGGAAGGCCACGCACAGCCACGTGCCGGCACCCCACAAGCTCCATCATCTACTTTTCAGGAACATAAAACATCTACTGGAGCCAAAACTTAAAGAGATTTTATAAGACCACTAAAACTCTTAAGATAATTAAAATCCCAGATACTCAATATCTGGCTCTCATCTAAGGTTACCTATCATGTAATGCTTTTTATTGAACACAAATGTAATTTAAGAACTACTTACTGAGCACTTACCATGTACAAGGCACCGTGAGGACCCCAGGGGGTACAAAGATAAGCAACATAGGACTCCAGCATTTTTTTAAATTAATTATTTTGAAATTTGGTTAGAGAGAGAGAGGGAGAGAAAAGAGAGAGATCTTCCATCTGCTGGTTCACTCCCTAGATGGCTGCACAGCCAGCTCTGGAATAGGCCAAAGCCAGGAGCCACGAAATTCACCTGGGTCTCGCACATAGCTGGCAGGCGCCAAGTAATTGGGCTATCTGCTGTTTTCCCCAGGCACAATAGCAGGGAACTGAATAGGAAGAAGAGCAGCTGATACAAACCGGCATTCCTAAGGGATGCCAGTACTGCAGGTGGCGGCTCTACCCGCTCGCTACACCACAGTGCCAGCATCTAGGGGCTCCTATTTTCAAGGACATCAGTGCCTAGGTCTGTTATGGTACAGAGAGTTAAGGCACCACTTATGACACCAGCATCCCATAGGAGCACCAGTTCAAGTCCCAGATGCTCCACTTCCAATCCAGCTCTCTAATGTGCCTGGGAAAGCAGCAGAAGACACTTGGACCCCTGCTATCCACGTGGGAGACCTGGATGGAGTTCCAGGCTCCTGGCTTTGGGCTGGCCCAGCCCCAACCATTGCAGCCATGTAGGGAGTAAACCAACAGATGGAAGATCTTTTCCTCTGTCTCTCCCTCTCTCTCTCATTCTGCCTTTCAGATACATCAATATTAAAATAAACAAACAAACAAATGCAATTCCTAAAGGTAATATAGTTCATGAGTCATTTTTAACACAACTGTGGTGAAGGAGGCTTTTAAGACACAATTGCTTCATAACATAGTAATAAAGACTAGCCTGCACAGAACCTGCACGAGGATCTCATTCTGGTTCTAAGAGCTTAGATTAACAACTGTCTTTTTATCTGCTTGTTTTGTAACATGGAAAAAAGTCAATGCACTGACACAGCACTTCTCTGCTCCCCAGCTGTGTAGTCTCGATATGTAACTGAATTACTTTTGGCCATAGGCTCCCCTCTGGTAAATCAGGCACAGTAATACCAAGTTCACAGTTGTTAAGATTAAATAAGGTTGGGGCCAGCACCGTGGTGCAGTAGGTTAATCCTCCACCTGCGGTGCCAGCATCCCGTATGAGCTCCGGTTCTAGTCCTGGCTGCTCCTCTTCTAATCCAGCTCTCTGCTGTGGCCTGGGAAAGCAGTGGAAGATGGCCCAAGTCCTTGAGCCCCTGCAGCCACATGGGAGACCAGGAGGAAGCACCTGGCTCCTGGCTTCAGATCAGCAAAGCTCCTGCCGTGGCGGCCATTTGGGGAGTGAACCAAAGGAAGGAAGACCTTTCTGTCTCTCCCTCTCACTGTCTGTAATTCTACCTCTTAAAAAAAAAAAAAAAAAAAAAAAAAAGATTAAATAAGGTCACGCAGAATCAGCACTTAGCAAAGTTCTGATGTTGTGGCCATCTCCCATGCTCATCTAGGACTTCAGCAACTGGATCAGTCTTATGACCTATCCAAATCCCCTAAATTCTTTCGCAGATTCAACTTCTACATGATGACCACAATGAACCTGTTACTGCTGAGAAGTGCTCTGCCGCTGAAATCTTACAAACATCCTAACCTTGCCAAACTCTCATTCCCCCTTGCTGCTCAGCCTACCTGAACTTCAGCCACACAGATCTGCCCTGTCATCACACTCACCTGACGACAACCCAACTCTGCCTCCTTCCCGTTCCCCCAACCACGTGCATGAGCCCCACTGGGAGCACCAGTGCCTTCTGGGCTTCTCCTGCCTCACCCTGTACTCAGGGGTTCTGCCTCTCGACTCCTCAGGGGCCTTGATCAAGTCATTATCTCCCCTTTCCACTCCAACAGCTTCCATCGCTCTCCCTATTCTTTTCCCTGTGCCCTGTGTATGTAGAAACAAAATCATAAGCCTCATGTCCTTACAGAAACCAAAGCCCTCAGGAGTTAATATCTCCACTTTTAAAAGCTAAGCAGCTAGTCCCACAGGTGCACTGCAAAGAACAACTCTGCAATATTCATCATGTCTTGTTACAGAGATGATGTTAGCAAATATTCCTGTTATCAGTTGCCAGATTTTAGATTAACAGACAACACTGGATGCATTTACCATGTATAGCATGTTTTGAAATATAGGAGATGGCATTGTGCCATAATGGGTAAAGCCACCGCCTGCAGCACTGGCATCCTAGATGGGCACTGATCCAAGTCTCATCTGTTCCACTTTCAACCCAGCACCCTGCTGATGGCCTGGAAAAGCAGCAGAAGCTGGCCCGTGTGCTTAGGCCCCTGGCTTTGGTCTGGCCCAGCCCTGGCCATTGTGGACATCTGGGGAGTGAACCAGCAGACGGGAGGTCTCTCTCTCAAATAAATACATATTTTAGATTTACTGAAATATACATACACTATGAAATGGTTAAACCATGCCAGGTTTTTAAAGTTAAAGCTGTTCCTATATTTTATCATCATGAAGTTTATGTCTAAATCTGTTAAATAAGACAAACTTTCTGTATTATTAAAAGGTTTGTTTCAGTAGTTTTAAATACTGTTGACTTACAATCTTAGAGATATTTGTTAAACAGTGTACTGATTAAATGGAAAACTGTTCACTTGAAGTTGTAAGACATCTCTGCCCTACAAAGTTGACTATCTGTCAACTCTAGTAATACTTAACTCATTACTATAATATGATCTAGCAGTAATTAAGTCAACCTGAAAAAAGTATATGCAGGTTTTCTAAAAATTGACAGCCTAACTCAGAGCATTTTTCCTTTTTTTTTTTTAATTAATTTATTTGAAAGACAGAGTGACAGAGAAAGGAGGGTGAAGGAGGGGACAGATGGCAAGATTTTCCATCCACTGGTTCACTCCCCAGATGGGTGCAACAGCCAAGGCTGGGCCAAGATGAAGCCAGGAACCAGGAATTCCATTCAGGTCTTCCATATAAGTGACAGGGACCCAAGTGCCTGAGCCATCATCTGCTGCCTCCCAGGTGCATTAGCAAGAAGCTGGATCAGAAGTGGAGCAGCTGAGACTCAAACCAGCACTCCAACACAGGATGTAGGTGTACCAAGTGGCACCTAACCTGCAATGCCACAATGCCTGCTCCCAGTGTTTTCTTTAAAAAAAAAAAAAAAAGTGTTTATTTCCATTTGAAAGACAAAGAGAGAGAGAGAGCAAGAGCACAAATGATTCACTATTCAAATGCCTACCACGGCTAGGACTGGGCCAGGTAGGAGCCACAAGCTAGGAACTCCATCCAGGACTCCCACGTGGATGGCAGGGGTCCAAGTACTTGAGCCATCACCAGCTGCCACCCAGGGTATACATGAACATGAAGCTGTGTCAAAGCAGAGGAGCCAGGACTGGAACTCAGGGACTCACGTGGGCATTCCAAGCAGCGGCTTAACTCACTGCATCCCAATGTCCACCCCTTTCTGCTCCTTATAATGTGGCCAATGCACTGTGCAGAATCCCAGTTCGTTGCTACCCACAGTATGTGGAAGGTTTCTTGAATAAACAAAAACATTAATTCCAATCTACTATGGTAATGGGGCCATTGCAATTCTCAGACAGCTGAGGAAACACAGTAAGACAGCACTTGCCTAATGAACTGCCAGAATTCATGCTCAGATCTCCCCGAGTCAAAAGCCCTCCTTTCTGCTCATCAGAGTCTGCAGATCTAGATACGGATTGGCATCACCTAAAGAGATTAAAAATAAAAAGCAAAACACAGATGGCTTCCCTAACCCTCCTGCCACTCCCCATCCCCAAGCCCACTCTGATTCATTTAGTGTGGGATGGGTCTCAGCCAGGATTGAGAACCACAGAATTATGCAAGCCATGTTCTAATGGACCATGCTGCCCTGCAGATCTTGTTTAAAACAGAATGCTCTCATCATGATCCTGTAAACTCTACCTGTCAAATAAATAAATAAAAAATCTTTTAAAAAAAAAAACTGCCAAACTTAAGTAAAATCTCAGAAACAACCTTGTTTCATACAAGGAAGACAGAAGCGTTAGATGTTGTGTGGTCTGAGATCAGGTTTTATCAGCTCTGGTTTAACCAATGTCCGTACTGATGCTGACACACAGAAGTCTGTACGAGGGCTACCAAAGCACCAAAGCACCTGCCAACACAGACCCATAGCAGAGGCAGAAACGAGAGCACTCACTGTGCAAAGTCCAGATGACCAAAGATGGAGCAAACTCCAGAGGGAATACAGAGGAACAATCTGTCTGGAAGAACCAACTGGCATCAGACTCTCGAGTAGACATTGAGCAGGGGGGTCAATGACAATACAGGGGAGGGGGAAGGAACTGCCCTGAAGGCTCACCAAACTCAACGGCCCCCTTGTCTGAGGGGGATATTTCTAAGACCTCTAGCAGATGCCTGAATGTTGGTATTGTATATGCCTATACATATATAATACCAAAACATACATATTTTCTTCCTAAACATACATACATACCTGTGATAATAAAATTTATAAATTAGGCACAGTAAGAGCTTTACAATGACTAATAATAGAGTTAAAATATAAAATATAACACACTTATTAAAAGTTATGTGAATGTAGTCTGTTTATTTCTGGAATTTTCCAGATAGTATCTTCAGCCCCCACTGCAGGTAAATAAAATCACACAAAGTGAGACCACAGGTAAGGCAGACTGCTGAGTTTATTGTTCCTAATCTTGTTTTTAAACTTAAATACTAGAATCCAACATTTATGAAGGCAAATTTTCTAACAGTTAAACATACCTCCCAACTTATAAGGAACACCATAACTAACAGTTTAAAGGTAACATAATTATAAGGATATGAAAAACTGGAGTAAACTTAAATCTATTAATTTAACAAATTTCCTTTCAAGCCGGCAATCTCCTCAGCAAATGTCAGAGTAGTTACATTTAAAGTTATGAAATCATGCGGAACACCACTCCACTATACCCACAGTCCAAAAAACATTTCTGTGGTGAAATGAGAAGGCCACGCCAAGACGGCACTGGCGAGCGAGCAAGACACACCTTCAGTTACTCAGAAAATGACAGTGGAACCCACCTGGCAAAGGAGCCTGCCTAGCAGCAGGCAGTGATTGGTTACGGCATAAACCGGTCCTTGACCGGATTGGCTGCCTCTGCTATATAAGCTGCTGCACCAAGTGAATAAACGAGTCTGCGATCTGCCCGCCTCTAGCCTGCTTCCACCCAACTTCTGGACTCCCAGTGTCTGTGTCGTGGCTCCGCGCCTCTTGCCCCCACCATGCTTCTCCTCTCAGAATGAATCCACAGCAACACATTTCCAACATGTTTATCATCCATGTCTCCCACTGGTGAAGTGGTCACTGGGGAACAAGCAGTTCACATCATTTTAAGAAATTTCCTGGGGGTGGGGGGGGTGCGCCACGGCAAGCTGAGCCACCATTTGCAACACTGGCATCCTGTATCAGAGCGCCAGTATGAGTCCCAGCTGTTCCACTTCTGATCCAACTCCTGATAATGCACCTGGGAAGACAGAAGATGATGGCCCAAGTACCTGGGCCTCTGCCACTCCTGTGGGAGACCCAGATGGAGTTCCAAGCTCCTGGCTTCAGCTTGGCTCAGACTTGGGGAGTAACCAATGGAGGAAGGTATCTCTGTGTGTGTCTCTCCTCCCCCAGCCCCCTTAACTCTGCCTTTCAAATAAATAAATAAATCATTTTTAAAAATTTGCTTCCACAAATTTGACATTAATCATCAAATCAAATTTCAATAGTCTTTGAAAGAACTATGGAGGGGTGGGTGTCTGTCCTAACAGTTTGCCATCTCATATCAGAGGGCCTGAGTTCCATCCCCAGGTCCCCATTCCAGCTTCCTGCTAATGCAGATCCTGGGAGGCAACAGGTGATGGCTCAAGTCATTGGGTTCCTGCTACCCACGTGGGAAACCTGGATTGAGGTCCCAGCTCCTGGCTTCACCCTACCTCTCAACTGTTTCAGGCATTTGGGGAGTGAATTAGTGAATGGGAGCTCTCTGTCTTGCTCTGTTTCACAAACAACAATGGAAAAAAAAAAAAAAGCAAAACCATGCAGTAGGTGCTGTGGCGCAGCAGGTTAAGCCACTGTCTGCAACGCCAGCATCCCATAAGGGTGTCAGTTCAAGTCCCAGCTGCTCCACATTTTCTGATCCAGCTCCCTGTTAATGCACCTGGGAAAGCAGTAGAAGATGGCCCAAGTGCTTGGGCCCCTGCACCCATGTAGGAGACTCAGAAAAAGCTCCTGGCTTCAGCCTGACCCAGCCTTGGCTGTTGGCAGCCATTTGGGGAGTGAACCAGCAGATGGAAGATCTCTATCCTTTCTCGTTCTCTGTCTCCCTCTTTTGCTCTAACTCTTTCAAATAAAATAAATAAATCTTTAAAAAAATAAAATAAAAAAGCACAGGGGCCGGCGCTGTGGTGTAGCAGGTAGAGCCGCTGCCTGCAGTACTGGCATCTCATATGGGCACCAGTTCCAGTCCCACTGCTCCACTTCCGATCCAGCTCTCTGCTATGGCTGGGAAAGCAGTAGAAGATGGCCCAGGTCATTGGGCCCCTGCACCCATGTGGGAGACCCAGAAGAAGCTCCTGGCTCCTGACTTCGGATTGGCTTAGCTCCAGCCATTGCAGCCATTTGGGGAGTGAATCAGCAGATGAAAGACCTCTCTCCCTGTCTCTACTTCTCTCTGTAACTCTGTCCTTCAAATAAATAAAAATAAATCTTTAAAAAAAAAAAAAAAGGCAGAAAGCAGAACACCAAAGACCACCGCACTACAGAAAAAAAAATTTATAAAGATTCTAACAGCTTTTATTACAATAGTGCAAGGTAGTATTTCATCCAACACTCACCAAAACAAACCATCATCTTCTATAAAACAATTCCAGAAAATTCAAACAAAAAACTAAAGATACATTATCTATAATAATTCTCATACAATACTGTTTAGTGTTCAAACTTCATGTCACTCCAATAAAGTATAATCATTTTCTAGCAAACGTGGCAAACAAAGTTTGCTCTGTTTCTCTGTTTTATTGTCTGCCTATAAATATATCAGGACATGCCTCACAGTTAGAAACTTAAACTACAGCACTCCATGACATCAATATCTATTCGTGCTTAGGATCAGCCAGTTGTACCAAATACCATAAATACAAAATGATAGGAAATATAAACATCGATTTGTATTTCAAGTTTATAACATTTTATTTACAAAAATAGGCTGGGAGGAAAAGGGTTTACAACCCCCATCATTTCCTGGGGGTGAACGATTCCACACCATCTTCTAGTGTGTTTTCTCCCCTAACAATTTTTCCAGTCGCATCTGAATCCCTTCAGAACTGCATCTGTCAACTAGAAGCTCGGGTGGCGAGGAGGAGAGAAAATGGGGGGAGCAGGAAGTGGGGTGTGAGGGAAAAAGGAACGGGCATACAACAGTCGGCACATAAATAAATGGCTTGTACTGAAAAGACTCTGCACTGTGCCTCATGCACTGGGCAATGCACGCACACTGCTCGGACACCAACACCGGACGCTGTTATGTACAGAAACTGCACTCTTCTCTGGGTTCCGAAGGACACTTGCTCCCCAATATGGCACGATCGAACGATAATCCCGGCGGACACTAAGACATGACTCCGAAGACAGGGTTGTGACGGCAGATGCCAGGGCCGTACTCTTCATAGTCCTTCTTGGCATGGCAGACCTGAAAAAACTCCGGCTGCCAGAGGCAACAGTTAGAAGGAAACTTGACTAGTTCAGAAATAAACTATTAAGCAAACGAGAAGCTCTCCTTACCCTAGACTTCCTCTCTCTCCAAACCACTCTGATAGGATTCTGACCTCTCTGACACACTAGTTATCTCATTTTTTAAAGACGTATTCACCCTCTGTTTATCTAGAGCCCACTATATGCAGGCCCCATGCTGACAGGGTGTCAGTTACTAACAAATTTGAAAAATTAATTAGGAAAATCACTGGAATTAATAATTCAAGATTTATTTTTTATTTCACTTATTCATGTTATCTACAACCCCTAGCAAGAATACTTGCAAATTAGCTATGCAACTTAAGTGATCATTAAATTATGTCCAATCTTACAGAATTAAGTATGTGTCTATTTATAGCCACATAACTAGAACATGCACTATATAACCTTTCTAAACAATAGAGGATACATTAAATTCATGAAAAATGGAATTGAAAGCTTATTTGCTTACAAAAAATTTTTTTAATTCATGCAAGTTTTTCACAGCATGCATTTTGTATGAAGTTTTTGAAGATCTGTCCTATTTAGTCACACTTAACAGAGGCTACAGAAATGAAATTATGCAACAACCTGAAAGGACTTACGGTGGAAGCCAGCATTGAGCCTCCAAACCACACGGCATAGCGCTGCATATGATGTGTTATCACCTGAACTTCCACGGGCTTAGGCTGGAAATAAAGTAATCTACGTTTAGTCCAAGGGTACACGTGAATTGTTATTCAAGTAATCTTTTGGCTAACAGGGTAGCATCCCTCCTGGGTCTTCCTTCCCTCTTAATGGCAGAAGGCCTCCCCCTCACATGTGCATCCTCCTGCAGTGGCACCAACTACACGCATGCTGCCTCTGCAAGGAACGTCCTCCCCGCCGGCCCCCATCGCTCCAGACCTGGGTGGTTCAAAGAAACGCAGGCACAGCCCGCAGAGGGCACCTTCACACAACAAAGCCCTACAGTAAGTGAAAGACCCAAGCAACTACCCTCAATCATTTCTTTCTTTTCCTCTTCTTCTGCTTCTTGGTGTCACATTCTTGTTACTGTGTTTTCATTAGAGTAGGGCCCAAATGAGATAGATGTTTTAGCACTGTAGAGATAATTCCAAGTCCCCACTTGGGCAGCACACACACTAAGAAACAGCTAGCCATTCCAAAAACACTGAAGGAACTGCCCCTTCCCAGCCAGCTGGCTCTGTCTCAGGGGGCTCGCTTCTTTGTTCCCACTTCCCCTACCAAGCACAATCTTGGTTAGATGTCTAACTAAAACCAGCAGTTTGTTAACTGGAGGAACACGTCTCACCTCCCTGACAGTATTAGTTATTTTTGTTTAATGAGAACATTTCCAAAGGATACTAAAGATCCTTAGATCCTTACTATAAATTAACTCCGTCTCCTTGGGACAGTGTCATTATATGACATGCCCGATCTCTTACAGCACACACACGCACGCACACACACACACACACACAATCTGCTGGCGACGTGGCGTAGCGGGTGCGTGAAACTGCCGTTGCTGCATCACTAGGTGCATCAGTTTTAACTACATGTTTGGAACGAGTTCAGGCAGCAAAACTCCGTTGCAACTTCTCAGCATGGCTAAGTGCTGCAATCTGTTTTTCTTTCATGAAAGACGAGCTCCTTCAGCTCTGTGTCAGGAAGAGAGAGCCCAGCCAATGCCGGTGCAGAAACTCACTTCATTAGCACCCATATGGTTCCTGGTCTCCTACCTTGATTCTGCCGCCACTCAGCTCTTCACTTAGTTTTAACCTGGCGTCCACCACTCTTTTTAAATCTCTCTGCAATCGACGTCCAAAATCCCTGAACATTGTGGAGCCTCCTGAAAGAACGACATTCTAAAAAACACAAAGCAGAGGGGTGCCTTGGATGAAATCACCCACCCACGTGGTTCTGTTGTGCCACAACAGAATCCCCTCACATCCAATGCTTGTGGAGTAACACACCGACCCTATATGAAAAGACACTAAGTAAAGCAAAGTCGAAGCCATCAGAAGCGTGCAGGTGGTGTTTTCTCTCCCTGTGACAACAAGGTGTCACAGACTGCTCCTTTCAGCACGCTCCCTCGACTGTAACCAAGTGTGAACAAAGTCATTCTCCTCCCACGCGCTCCCCCTCAGACCCCACAGAACCACTGGTCCAAACCAAGCCCGATCTTCAGGGGTTCTGCCTTAGTAACCACTGGCACAGATGAGTCTCCCGACTAACACTTTCAAGAAGGGAGATGCTGCGAAGGCCCCCGTTTTCTGGAGAAGCCTTTCCAATGAGCTGTCTCCCTTCCCATTCTTCTCCAGCACCCGACGACTCAGCGACCACTGGACAAACTGCCATTAGATCACCAATCAGACTCTGAAGAGGGGTAAAAATTGTATTCTTTCAGGCTACCGGGTATTATTTGGGACAATGTAAGTGTAATTAAGTATATACTGATTTAACATTCTTACAGAAAAAAAAATCACTTGCAAAAACTATATATGGAAAATGAAATAATCCTTCCAGAAGCCAGAAGACCTACTTCAAGATCCTCTCAATCCTCGAGTGCTCACCCTGCTCCTCCTGAGAGCCCTGAGTCCCCGCGGGACTACCTGCTGTCAGGCACGCCTCCCAGTCAGCTCTGTGTGTCTGAACAGTGGACTCCTCACGAAGTTTACAGGCAAGCAGGAGTCACAAGGAGCCAGGATGACAGAACACACTCTCTGTCCCCGTAACCTGGGTTGTACATTCTCCACGATGGCAGTGGTCCGCTCCTGCCACTGCTGTCCTCAGGAAAGACGGCCGGCACTGAGCAAAAGAGGATTTGCTTTCCCTCGTGCCAGCTCCGGGAAGAGCTGCAGCAGCACCCGTGAGAACTCAGGGGTAGGCAGGTAAAGTCAGAAAGGAAACAGAAGCAGGGCCATGAGAAGCCACCAGTGAGCAGCCTGGTCTTCTGCACGGGGCTCTATTCCAATTCCACCCCAAGTGTCCCTACAGAAAAATTTCACCTCTAATAACCAACAGATTTTTGATGACCTCAAACAAGTTCTAATTGCTCCAGTTACTGAGTTGAAAAGGACTGTCAGTTGCTAAAGCTTTCACAATCCCTTGGCCAGGGACCTTGCTGTGGGCTACCTGTGGTCTCACCAAACTGTGCTGACTTTTTTTTAAAGATTTATTTATTTGAGAGGCAGAGTTACATATAGAGAGAGGAAAAGACAGAGAGAGAGGTCTTCCATCTGCTGGTTCACTCCCCAAATGGCCAAAATGGCCGGAGCTAGGCCAATCCAAAGCCAGGAGCCAGGAGCTTCCTCTGGGTCTCCCACGTTGGTGCAGGGGCCTGAGCACTTGGGCCATCTTCCACTGCTTTCCTAGGCCATAGCAGAGAGCTGGATCAGAAGAGGAGCAGCCAGGACACAAACCGGCACCCACACAGGGAGAAGCAGCTGTGCACACACTATTGTCTCACTTCCTGGGTTTTAACTTCAGGTAGGTCCCTGCACAGCAGGTGGCTCTGCTCTGCACCTCTCAATGAGAATGCCCTGCCAACAGGCCCTAAGAGCCAAGTCATTTCAGGAGCAGGCATCTGTCTCCAGAGAATCCACAGAAAGGTCACAGCCCTCTTTTACATTGCTTGTTATCCAGAATTACTCCTCTTCACTGTGCAACGGAGCTCAAAATTCTCGGCTCAGAATGCACTAGAGCTCCTCATGGTTACCACACTCTGTCCAGGTCAGCACAGTTAACCTGATAAATGACAGAATTTTAAAACCATGAAACAAAATGAAACGTGGAGAAAGTACCAACATGACAACTGGCAAGATTCAAGATGGCTCTCATCACAGAGAAAATTTTGGAGAAGTTGGGAAACTCCAAAAATAGTATCAGAGCTCAGGAAAGACTCAGTAAACAATATGGACATAAACAGGAAAAACAGCAACAGAAATGAAAACTCTAATTTAGGGGTGATCTGCATCCAGATTAGAGGAGATTTACACAAGATTATAGTGTATAAATGTCAATTCAAACTTCACAGCAAGGACTAAGTGCAGAAAACCAAAGTCCCTAAATTGAGTCAATTAAGCAACTTAAAACAGTGAGCAATGACAGGACCAGCAACAGGTCCCCACCTGAAGGGAAAGTGGGCAAGACGGCTCTCCCTGACCATCACAAGTGAACAGGACAGTTCTCAGCGGCCATGGAAAGTGGACAAGATGACTGTCATGAACCACAGAACAACGGCTGCACGGACCACAGTAAGTGACAAGATGGCTCTCCCTCACCATCACAAGTGAACAGGACAGCTCTCGGCAGCCACGGAAAGTGGACAAGATGACTGTCATGAACCACAGAACGACAGCTGCATGGACCACAGTAAGTGTCAAGATAGCTCTCACGGACTAGGTTGACCAAGGACCACTGTATGAGAGCTCAAATATGTTACATAAACCATTCATATCTTTATTATGTAGACAAAAATTAAAATTAATGTCTACAGGGGCTGGTACTGTGGCATAGTGGGCTAAAGCCTCCACCTGCACTGCCGGCATCCCATATGGGTGTCGAATTGAGTCCCGGCTGCTCCTCTTCCCATCCAGCTCTCTGCTATGGCCTGGGAAAGCAGTGGAAGATGGTTCAAGTCCTTGGACCCCTGCACCCCATGGGAGACCAGGAAAAGCACCTGGCTCCTGGCTCCTGCCATCGGATCAGCGCGGTGCGCCGGCCGCAGCGCGCCGGCCGCGGCGGCCATTGGAGGGTGAACCAACGGCAAAGGAAGACCTTTCTCTCTGTCTCTCTCTCTCACTGTCCACTCTGCCTGTCAAAAAAAAAAAAAAATTAAAAAAAAAATGCATACCTACACTAATATATATATTATTATATTATAATATGACACAGGTAGTATGAAAAGATGTTGAACAGGACAGCAGGAATTCAAAATATAAGGAGGAATGAATGCAGTTGTATGGTTTTGTTTCTTTCACTATCTTTATAAATAGCATAAATTGAAATAGTTTCAAACCAGACTGTCATAACCTAAAGATGTTCTTTAGAAGCCTCATGGTAACCACAAAGCAAAAATCTCTAATTGAATTACCAAAAAATAAAATGCATAGAATCAAAACACACTACGAAAGAAAAGAACAACCACAAAGGAAGCAAAAGAAGAGAACGGAAGTACAATGAAACTAGAAAACAAGAATCAAAATGACAGTAGTAAAGCCTTACTTATCAATAAATACCTTAAATATGAATGGATTAAATCCTCCAACTAAAATACAAAGAGTGACAGAATAGTTTTTAAAAGAGACACAATTCGGGGCCGGCACTGTGGTGCAGTGGTTAAAGCCCTGGCCTGAAGCGCTTGGCATCCCATGTGGGCACTGGTTCTAGTCCCAGCTGCTCCTCTTCTGATCCGGCTCTCTGCTATGGCCTGGGAAAGCAGTACAAGATAGCCCCAGTCCTTGGGCCCCTAAACTCGTGTGGGAGACCCGGAAGAAACTCCTGACTCCTGGCTTCAGACAGTTCCAGCCGTTGCGGCCATCTGGGGAGTGAACTAGCAGATGGAAGACCTCTCTCTCTGTCTCTGCCTCTCTCTGTAACTCTGTCTTTCAAAATCTTAAAAGAGAGAGAGAGAGAGAGAGAGACAATTCATTTGTTTATCTCTAATTACACAAATAGACTGAAAGTGAGAGAACAGAATTAGACATTTCATGCAAATGGAATCCAAAAGAAAGTAGTAGTCATGCATGTATCAGATAAAATAGATTTTAAATCAAATGCAGTAAAAGGAGACAAAGAAGTCATTTTATAAATGATAAAGGGTTCAATTCAGCACTATGAAATAATAATTGTAAATATATATGCATCAAATTTCAGAGTACCCAAATATGTAAAGTAAATAATTAATCGTTTTTTAAAAGATTTTATTTATTTATTTGAGAGGTAGAGTTACAAAGAAAGAGAGATGGAGAAATGTCTTTCATTTTACTCCCCAAATGGCCACAACAGCCGGAGCTGAGGAGAACTGAAGCCAGCAGCTTCCTTCTTGTCTCCCATGTGTGTGCAGGGCCCAAGCTTTTGGGCCATCCTCCACTGCTTTCCCAGGCCATAAGCAGAGGGCTGGATTGGAAGAAGAGTAGCCGGACACAAACCAGCACCTATATGGGATGCCAGCACCGCAGGTTAGGCTTAACCTACTATGTCAAAGCACGGCCACAAAGCAAATATTTATAGACCTACAGAGAAAGAGCAACTCCAATACAACAATACCCCACTTTCAGAAATGGAGAGATCATCTAGACAGAATATCAACAAAGAAAGGAGTTAAACAGAACGGATAAACCACACCAGACATCTACAGAATGCTCCACCCAAAAACTTGCTGAATACACTTTATTCTCAACAGCACGCAGAACAATCCCCAGGATAAATCAGATCAGAGGGCTCATAAAACAAGCACCAATAAATTTTTTTAAAAAATACATAAATCATACATTATATTTTCTCATCCACTATAATTAAATGAGAAATAAGTTTGAAAAAAACTTTAGAATCTATAGAAATACATGAAAATTTAAAGAACTTACTCATGAACAATCAATATATCCAGGAAAAAAATTAAGAAGGAAATAGAAAAAAAAATTCTGGAATGAATGAAAATGGAAATACAACTTACCAAAAATCTATGGCATATAGCAAACACAGTACCAAGCAGAAATTTTATTGCAATCAATGCCTATATCAAAAAGTTGGCTGGGCCAGTGCTGTGGCGCAATGAGCTAAGCTGCCACTTAGAACAACTGGCAGCCCACACTGGAGCAGAGCTAATGTGCCTGGGAAAGCAGCAGAGGACAGCCCAAGCACA